CCCAGCTATTTGGACTCTATATTTAGTTCACTTGTTAGTAAGTGACTTCACTTTATTTGGCTTCTGCATTGTTCTTCATATCAGATTTAGTTCTCTGTGATTCCCACGCTCCTTTTTGATTTTGATTTTTTAATTAGAAATCTTTTTTGGTTCATTTTAATTGTGGTACAGCTATAGGTAACAGAGCATTTACCATTTCAGCAGTTTTTATGTGTACACTTCAGTGGCATTACATATATTCATCATGTTGTTCCAACCCTGACAAGATTGGAAATCTTTGGGATGAAAATGAAAAAACTCATCCCAAACTGCTGACAGTGAGATTAGCAGCCTGACTCATAACCACTACGCCACCAGGATTCCTTTAACTAGATTTGTGACTTGGCAAATATTTAGATTAGTGAGAAGATAGGTATACTCAATTAAGGAGCTCTGGTAGTGCAGTGGTTGTGAGTCGGGCTGCGAACCTCAAGGTCAGCAGTTCGAAACTATCAGCTGTTCCGCAGGAGAAAGAGGAGGCTTTCTGCTCCCATAAAGATTTATAGCCTCAGAAATCCTGTATAGTGAAGGAACCAACTCCACAGCACATAACAACAATAACAACAACAACTTCCATAAAGATTTCAGCCTCAGAAACCCTATACAGGGTCACTGTGAGTCAGAAATAACTCCATGGCACACAACCACCACCACTCCTTAATTATTGTTGTTGTTAAGTACTGTTGAGTTGGTTCCACTTCTTAGAGACTCTGTATAGGGTTTCTGAGGAGCAGCTGGTAAGTTTGGACCTCTGACCTTGTGGTCTAGCACATTATCCCGCAGCGTCACACCAGGACTCCTCCTTAGTGTTAATATCTAGTGTAATTTTGCAAGAAAATGGCAGGTAACCATTATTCTTTTTCAATATTTGTATTTTATGTTTAGAACCTTGCCAGTCCTGGCTTTGTTTTTGACTTGGTTACTTCTTAAATTTGATTAGGCAATAAGCAAAATGTCTTAAACTTGATTTTCCACTCTTTGTTAACCATGTATTTTAAAATGAAAGACGAAAGTGGAAACTTAACAAATTAAATATTTTTGAGCTCAGCACTGTAGGAACACACATATCCCAAATTCCAAGGTAAGTGATTTGTGTTTCAACACAGGTTCATGTGTTATTCTGTTTCTTTGAACTGAGTCACACAGAAATGTAGTAGGGATATCTTAAAATAGACAGAGGACAGTGGCCAGAAATTGTTGACTACTCTAGATGGTGAGGCTGTCTAGCTGCTGCAGTGATATAAGCCAGAAGTACATGCTGAGGGCATTGCTTTGCTCAAGGTCAGCATGTTCTAAATTCAGCTGCTTGAGAATGGTTTCTGTCCGGAGCACGTAGGCCTCTTGAAAGCATAAAAGGTTTTAGCAGCAGAGGTGTTGTATTTATGAGGTGTGGTGGCAACATTTGGGCCAGGGGTTTCTTGTGGGATTTTTTTTCTCTTTGCTATTTGTTTTTTTATGCTTTGTTTTTTAAATATAGAACAGTAGCCTGTGGTTCTGAGTCATTTCAAAACACAGACAAGAAAATGAACCAAAAAGTAAACCATATAACATGTATATTCCTTGCTATTTTCCTGAGTAGTTTCACCTTAGTTGCTATTGAAATAAAAACCTGCATGTAATAATTGACAGAAGAATATATTATAGTAACTAATTTATTTAAGCTAATTGGTCCTTGTTTAGGACAGTCTCATCTCTTGTGCAATATTAGACACTGGAGTATCAAAGATAAAAGGTCCTATAACAAAACTGTTGTTGTTAGGTACTGTCGAGTCTGCTCTGACTCATAGCCACTGCACAGATAGCAGGCCAGGTCCTGCGCCATCCTCACCATTGTAGGTATGCTTCAGCCATGTTGTAGCCGCTGGGTCAGTCTGCCTCAGGGAGGGCCTTCCTCTTTCTTCCTGACACTCTTTACCAAACAGGATGTCATTCTTCAGGGATTGCTTACAACAAAATTAAGGTCCTGAGAAAAATTCATAATATAACTAATATTTCATATAAGGTACTTTATAAGGGAACACTTGTGTCCATGTAACTGCATTATCTTTTTTTTTTTTAAGTTTTTATTGTGAACTGAGTGATAGTTTACATGGGAGAAGATCGATTTTAAACCTCGTTTCATTGCAATGATTACAGTCTCCTTCATGCATCATCATTCAACAGTATTTGCTATTTGCTTCCATTTTCTCTGTTTTTTGTTTTTGGTTTTTTTTTGATTGGCAGGGTGTACATAGAAGCACTCAGGAATATATAATAATTTGAACAACCAAAAGGCACGTTCTGCAACCTGACTCCTGGCTGCCAGCACCCAGTCCCTCTTTTGCCATGAGTCTAGAGTCATCAGCTACTCCCTCGCTCCATATTCTCATCTCTGCCTCCATCGTAACTGCATTATCTTTGAAAAAGTACTTATAGAACACTGTGTATATATTACTGCATTATTTTTTTATAAAGTACTTCAGTGTATGTTTTCTAGTTAGTTGCTGACATTATCACTGTGAGGTACACTAATGCTGGAATTGTATTTGATAATTACTACACTGAGGTGTTGTTGTTGTTAAGTGCTGTTGAGTCAGTTCACACCCATAGTGACCCTGTATAGGGTTTCTGAGGAGCAGCTGGTGATCTTGAACCACCAACCTTGCAGGTCAAATGGCTTTGCAGTCTGGCGCATTAACCCACAGTAGTTTTCTATATATCAAAGTCTGGCAGGTAGGCAAATAAAAGTCAGACAGATGTAAATTCACACTGCAAGTTTAACTTGACAAATTTTTGTTGAACTATTTTGGTGGTTCTTGGCTCTTTCCTAGGTGCTAGGGATACAGAAGTGACCAATATAGGTACTTCCCACTGTTTGAAAGTTTGCTTTATGCCACTTCATTTTTGCAAAAGACCTACATTAGTAATAACGGTTAACAACAACAAAAAAAATCTGAAGAGGGTTTTTGTTTTTATGAAAAAAGGCAAAAAGTAAAACTAGCATTCAGTGTCTGTTTTGCAGTGCTCAGTCTAAACAAGGAGAGTGGCTTCGCCAAGCTCCTTCCCCAGGAATTATACTGTATTTACATTATTTCTACTCTGTTGTAACTATATTTATGATACCATTTGTGCTTTTCCTACGTTAGTGTTATGTATATGTTATGCATTATTTGGTATGGCTTGGTAGGCTACTTTTGGGTCTGAGAATGCTCAAAAAAATTTCCCACATAAATTAGTGGTAATTGCAAAGTTTATTCACTTTGCACCATTTCAGCTAACAAAAGCTTTCAAAGGAGCGCTCTACTTTCAGATAGTGGGGGACACCTGAATGTGATTTCATCATTTAATGGGGGAGAAAAAGAAAATGCTACAGCCCAGATGTGTTCAGAGTGATATGGAAACTCAGAGGAGAGCACTTAACCTTATCTGAGGATCCCGAGAAGGCTTCCGGGCAGGAGTGACCTCTAAATGAGCCTCCAGAGGAGAGCAGGAGCCAGGATGGACCCATCTTGAGAGCCTTTCCTAAAAGGGCTTAGTATTGGGCTGAAATTGCTGGTAATGTCGTCTCTGTATCGTAAAATAGTTGTTTTTTTATTAGAAATCTTTATTCATCACACACAAGGTTATTAACTGAGTTTAGTTTAATTGAAGTTTCTGAGAGTCTATACTGAGGTGGTTTTAAACACCATATGCACATAACAACAACAGGATTCCGTAGTAATATTATGTACCCATGCAGTGTTGTAGTACGTAATATTATGTCATTATATCTGTAAGTTTATGTAAAATATTTCCAACCCCCAATTTAAAGATTGAAATCATGAAGATACTGATAATAAAAGGCAATAATAATGAAAACTTGGGGAAAAAATGGTATCATGCATTAGAACTGCATCAGAATTGACTTAAAATGGAGTTGTCTGGACAGAACCTTTTGTAAGTCAGAAACTATATGCCTTGCCTTTATGGGTAGAGCAATAGAAAAGTTAAGTACTCTGATGGCAAAGAACAAAGCATATGAAAAGAATATTAGGAGGGGCTTAATAAGAAAGAAACCATCAACTTTTTAATTTGAAAATAATTTCAGACATACAAAAAGTTGCAAAAGTGCAAATAATTCCTGTATATTCTTTACTCCAATTCCCCAAGTGTTCTGAATGTTAATATTTGCCGCACTCATTTTATCGTTCTCCCATTCTCTGTCCACACACCTAGTTTCCTACAATGTTTAAGAGTAAGTTTCAGATATGAATCCTCTTTGCCTCTTAAGTACTTCAGTGTGTATTTCCTAAATATAACATCATTCTCTTGTATAACTG